GTTAACTCCATTCATAAAGGGCCAACCATTCTCTTCAGTGGTTCCGCTGCGTTTCTGTTGCAATTACCTACCTATCCAATCTTTCAAGAATTGTCAAAACAAAGCACCATCAATGTGTATTTCAAATGTCCAACTATTTTCAGAGAAATTGGAAGCATTTAATTTTGCTACTTTGTTAATTTATTCGTTAGGTGCTCTTGCAGAGTAGCAAGCTTCCCTAGAAGTGGACAAATATCAAGTGGCAGTTGTTTAAGCGAACAACTTATTTAAAGGTGTCCCGACTTAACTAGTACGCCATTTTGATCCGATCTGTGATCCTCTAACTTCAACCCGATCAATTAAAACTGCTCTACAAGGGGGCATTGCAAAAATAAACTGTTAGTCACGTAGAATAGATGACTTCTTCACCAAATTTTTCTTTTTAAATTCAAAAAATCAAAAGAGGAAAGCTGGATGCTAACAACAACAATCGACTAGAACGATTGGTTGCGAGGCAAAAGGGGTAGAAGGGGTACCGGTCGGTGCAACTCGACCGTGAGTGAACTAGCTCAGCTACACCCATCAAAAGTGTGACAGAAGTATTTTTGTCTTGATCGCTGATTTGATCAAACATCACCTATTTTGATTCTGTGGGCCATACAAGGGTGCCAGCAACAACTTGGGAGCATTACATTGTCAAAAGAAAACTATTTTAGTTTGAAAGGCTCGATATCAGCAAATTGACACAACACCTTGGAGTCACAATCAGTGCCTTCCGTTGTAGATAGGTGTGTTTGTTGAACTTACCAACACGAGAGTCATCGAATGTTAGCCGCTACCCTCATGCCAAATTTTTAGCAAACACTTGAGGCGGGATCAGACTTGAATTCGCATTGAATTTAAGGCGGTGGGTGAAAAAATACACATCGTCAGCTTGATAAACAAGACAACAATGAACTCAGAGAAGACGCCGAACAGGAACCAAATACCGAAAAGCTATAAGGATTGAGTGGGATTATAATGCCTCCAAGGTGTCGATTAACATTACTGTTACTGTACAATTTCTTTTTAAAGAAGAATACAGCCCCGTGGGATGATCTTTTCAACCTTCACTTAAAGCATCTGGGATGCAAGCCTCCAAACTCGTCTGAGTATTGATAACAAATCTGCCTTTAGATTGACAATTCCCTATGACGCCTTAAGAGGTAACTCAAAGACAAGATTACTACGACTCACCAATTAAACCATCAACAGCACCACCAGGTGAGCCCACGGTGCCCAAAGCTGGTCCGCCGTTACCCCCAGAGGTGACAAAAGCCACGTTGGTGTGCAACACGAACTGTGTCAGATGGGTGTAGATACGCCTATGAGATGATAGGGAAGCTAAGTCTACAAGTGGCTATATGCATCGATGCATAAGCTGAAGAGCATTTGAGCGCATGCGTATGTGGGGGGAGAAGACTCACCCAAAATTCGGCAGAAAGGCTTTCTCCCCAAAACTGTAATTGACGATGTCACACTTTAGTTTGGTGGTCCAATTCAACTGAAGAACAGCAAGCATGGTGTACAATATTGAAGTAATGTAAAGTGCGATGGCAACGTCAGATCACTTAAACTCTTTCCGTAATCCCTTAAGGACAATGCTTAAATTAGTGTTTTCGGACAACGATGAGACATAAGGTCAACGAATTTTGGGATAACATCAACACGGACATTTATTGAGAGGTGTAAGATTTAGCTCAGCTCCCTTAATGACGAACGTGGTGACTAAATTTCGCACATTTGTTAGGTAACTCCATTCTCCTCATTCGGGTTAATGAAGGGCCGTCCTGTGTACGCCAAGACATCGAAAAGTTCTTTTATTTATAGCCCAGAATATCATTTGAAATCCCAATTGCATCCTTCCGGATCTTACCACCGCTGCAAATAGACTTTGAATTGCAAATAATGAATTAAGTATAAGGGCAGCCAGCGTACAGCACAAAGGAGGGACGTATTGGTCTCCATGCCCAACAAGTGAGTATCAGCAATCTTAATGCTGACTATCTGGGCTCCGGGTGCCACACCATTTTGGTTGGTTTCGTCAGGAAGGTGAAAAGCTTTGAGGCCTTTGTCGTCTTTGCAGTTCTCAGAGGGTGGAAAATACGCTGCTGCGATTGCTGCCACGTGGGTGCCATGGGAACCGCAATTTGTTACTATTTGAAGAAGGTCACCCGCATTGAGAATCTTGACGGTAAAGTAGAGGAGAGCTACAACAATGTAGTAAGAGGACCGATTTAAAACCTTTATGGAAGGTTTCATATAATGAGATGGGGTGATACTTACTGTCATTGCCGAAGTGAGCCACTTGTCGACCGATGCTGAAGTCCTTTAGTAACGGCATTTCTGCGAGAGTCGTAGGAGTCTCCTCGTAGGGACTGATGTCCACGCATGCACTAAAATAGAAATTCAGACGCTTACCTCTTCAGGAAGGGTGAATGTTTAATGTACAAGCTTTCAAGCACGATGCAAGTGCAAAGTGACCTGTGCCAAGGCTTCCAGTCTAGACTAACCTGGAAGGTAATGAATGACTAAAGTAGTTTGGAAATGAATTCACCAACTGAGAATATACCCCCTCGAAGAAAACAAACTAAATTAGTCATTTGAAAAATTAATTTTTTGAAGAGACAAATGAAGTGGGTTCTGTATCCTCCAACCTAGTAGCAAATTAACAATGAATAGCATTTAAATGGGTCTGAAGAACAATTATAAGTATCAGGCGGATGGCTGAAACTCAGTGACATCCTAACTATGCAAACCGCTCTCAAACACACCTCCCTGTTGACCTGCACGAAGACTGACCTACGTCATCAGCGCTTCCAAGTATTTCCATTTCCCGTACATCCGTAACTACTTCACTTGCAGTACCGTCTGCAAGGCATAAGCTAGAGACTTTAAAGTCATATTTTAGTCTAATTTTATGGCAAGGTTATGAAATGCTTATATCAGAATGCAATGGTCCAATTGAGAAGGCTTAGCTTCCGTGTGGGTAGCTGGAACTTCCAAGCACAGGCGTTTGATCATGGGGATGGAGGTGGTTGTGGATTCTAATCTTGGTTGTGCATTAAATGCTCCTTAATATCAAATAACTGACGGCAATTCCGACAGAGTTGGCACAAGTAAAAATAATCTACAACTGGAAAGCGAGAAAAACTCAAAACACATGCGTTTTGGAGTTGCCCATGAGTTCATCATCCTCACAGCGTAATTAGATGAACTAGATAACAAGTAAGCATCCACACGGATGGAATAGTGTAATAAAGTACGAAAATTCTGGTTAACAACGTGTCAATTACCAGAGACCAGTGAGCCATCCCAACTATATTGTTTTTCTTTTGAGGCTGACCTGAGAGCCACACTGGTATATTGCATTTAAGAAACTCCACCACGCTACCAATATAAACTGAGCTTGGGTTTGTCGGCTCGAGAAGAAATTCTAAGAAAACACCTTCTACATGAGGAAGTCGATGAATAGAGATAATCCAGTGGACATGTGGCTTCGAGCAGGCTCAGAAGAGTTGAAAGCAGAGGTAGGAATAGAAGAAATCACCCTTACACGAAATCGCCATCCTCGCCCTTGAAGACGAAGCAGTCAAAAACAGGAACAAAGTACTCCTGCTGTTCGTTCAATGTGGCCAGAATGCGCTCCATTGACTTTAGTGCTGTTGGGTCCTTTGTCTTAAAGTGAAAAAGAATAAAATGGAACTACTATTCATACCATTCAAAAGAATACATCAATAGATGTACAAACAATGTTGGTAAGAATGTTTAGTAAGTTGTGAGGACGTTAACCACAATGCGTCCTTAAGAGAATTGACACAATCTCAAAGGTCTCAACTTTTACCCGAGAGAAGGAGAGCTTAACTCAAGTTGTAAAGATATTTCCTGTATTTGCGTTTTGATATCATCGTATAATCCTTACTAAAATATCCAAAATGAAATTAGCTCCAATCTGCAATGTCCATGGTGGACAAACTGCTAACCAACTGCCAAATTAAATGACCTTCGCTTGTGTAATTTAATCATCACCACTTTGTAGATTTCAGAATGCGATTTTAGTACTCACGGATCTCGAAGCAAAAAAAGTACCGTCCGGACAGATGGTCATTCAAGACAGACACAACCAGGATTAACTCGCCGCCCAAAAAGTAAATTGCCATGTGCAATAACAAGGAGTCTAGACCCAAATGTTGCGCGACTAAACCACCCAAAACACTCATCTCCATTCAACCACTGAAATTTCAAATGACTTTCTCAAAGCACCTGATTACATCTTTTTCTGCAACTTCTAAGCATAAACCTCAAAAACTGCGAATATTATCCGCTAGGATGCATAAAGTTAGCTTATAATTTCAGGTAGGTGAGTATTCATTACCCAACTTCTTCATTGCTCCTGTAGCCCTGCATAAATGCGTATTCCTTCCAGAGTAGTTTTGCTATTTCATAGAATCGAGTTCTAACGGTTATTTGAATATTTTCCCACTTTATACAAGTGATAGACATGCAGAGGGAACCAGAAGCATCTACAAGTAAAGTCGAAGATAACTTCGCAATCAAAGTTATGGGAGCGAATAATGCCTAACTACAGAGTGCATTGGAACGCATCAGTAGGCCATACATCAGACAAAAACCGGAGGAAGGATAAATTTATCCGTACCGCCAGCATTGCAACTCCTTGATACAGACCTTTTACCTGCTTACTGCCTTTAAGCCAATCATACACTGCATACTTCCAAACAACCACTCAACTTCAAGCCGCCTACTCAATGCCAGATCCAATTATTCACCTTTCCATTACCACATCAGTGCAAATGACCTATCTGCCCATCCTCGTTCAAATGTACGATTTCCCGGCCTCGATCTGACCATTCTTTTATGAATCACACCAAATCTATCCACCTCGTTTGCTAACTCATGCTCTCTTGCTAGCATCAGCTATTCTTTTATCTGTAAGTCCATTGCGACTCAAGCACTGATGCTCTACTCAAAGCGTCTTCACTACCTCCGTGCTTTCACGTATTGATGCACAAATCCAGAGGCACGCATCGTTTTACTCACCTATTCGCTTCTGACGCGTTCATTCCTATAACCACCAAGCCCTGTATGTTTACACATCATTTTTTAACTATCCATCCAGTCTTTGTTCATCCATTCGTTTACCCAGCACCATTATTAAGAAGAAAGTTTCCAATATTGTCCATAGAGTTTGCTTACTTTTTAACGTTCGTACATGGCAAAGTTTGACCTAACAGAATACAAAGCTGCATCCAATGAAGCCATTATAGATGGGCAAGAAAAACACTCTATAGGACCTCTTATAACTCACTTTGTCTACAAAATCCAACCACTCTCGAAAGGAAGCAAAGCTGGGCACAGTGTCAGGGCGAATTGGAGGAACTTTCAACCCTGACCTTCTCTCCTCTCCAACTTCACATTTTTCTTTCTCTTGCTCCTCTGCTTCTTCCTTGCAGGACACAAAACTAGTCGCAGACGATGCTCCGGTTCGATCGGTCTGACTCCCATCTAGAAAGAAAAAATGCCATACAAATTTTCGATGCCATATTTCACCACAATTCAATTCATTTCATTCAAATTGTAACTTATTCATCCATTTCTCACCCCCATCATCTTGTTATACTCCTCTGGTATAACACTCATGTCTTACCTGAGCATTTGCCAAACCTCTTATCCATTCCCTTATCGTCCATCTAGCCCAAATCCATCGTCTCATCATATCTTAACTGACCTACTGGCTCCCATCCAATTCATTAAACTAGCTGTCACTTCCACAATCATCTGTGATTCACCCACTAATCCGCACATCCCTTCATCATAGGGCCAATCCTAATGGAAGAACAAGCATCTACCCACATTATAGACTAATCAAAAAGTTCAGTCCTAAGAAATGAAACGACGAGTAAATACAATACACAGGGTACTAAATGCAAAAAAATGATGGAGACATGTGTTCTAACGTAGAGGATCAAGCAACACGATATTTGACCATGAGACGCAGCTGTAGATTCAGACCCATCGTGTTCACATTGCAATGTAAGTGCAATGAATGTCAATTTTGTGCCTTCCGTGGTAATGTCCTGGGAAGCCTAAACCACTTTTGCCGCTTACAAGAGCAGTTATAATGTCCGACAGGCGTTAAAATGTTGACTGAATGATATGGCAGACGACAAGCACAATTTGTGATATAACTGTAACAAGTAAAGGCAAGTGTAAAAGCGTCAGCTGAGGCATTGTGTTAAAAACTGAAAATCATCGAAAATAAACCGGAGAAAACAATCACAGGCAACCACGGAATGTTTGTGCGAGATAAAAGCCTCAAAAACCTTTTCTTTCCCTGTCGCTTGGTTAGATCTTCCTCATTATTCCAGCAGGCATTTCATTTTACCTAATTTTAACGCCAATATGCGCCAATTTTCCAACTATGGGGCGAAAATCCATCACCAACCATTCAATATCCAGTAATGCAGTTCGGGGTGGTCCAAAAGAAGAGAAACTTCATAAAAACACATCAATATAGTGGAATTGCTACCAAGATGCGCCACACTCCTATCACCTTGCTTGTATTGTACCGGTAGATCTTATCCGGACCCAAAACTGTGATTTTTAAATCAATTTGTTCTTGTGCGCAGATATACTGTGTGCTTTTGGAACGGCGTGCCGGTATCCCACCACAGTAACTAGACGCCTTTCTGATAACTTTGTCTAAAAAATCGCTTTAGGTATGAGATTGCGACTAATGAATTTATAAAAAACTGTCGAAAAGTTAAAGGAACAAAGGATTGCATGCCTCTACCTCACATAAAGAGACCGAAAAGAGGATAAGCATAGGATAGGATGGAACTGACACGTCAACAAGCAGAGGTATGCAATAGTATCAGCAGCACTACCCCATAATATGGAGGAGTGCTAGGACATTATACCGCTAATGATGGTGTATGACAGCCCTAAAACATATGGTAAACCAACAAGCTAAATACAGCAAAATGAACTCTTCAAGCACTAATTATGGCAGCAAATCAAGCATACATTTTCAGTCAGCAAATACCTTTACGACAACTAATAATCTGCTACAATGAACAAAACACATAGTCATAGAATAAATGCCAATCAGAATACGAGTAGAATATTATGTTAAATACCTACCAAGTTTGTAATCAGCAACGGAAGCTTCACCAACTATTGGATTCGATAATGCAATTGTAGGAATAGAAGGGGAGCCAGCAGCCTCCTTGAGATAATCACAGAGCCTTTGTATCGTTGGACGCCAGTAACGATCCATTGCCTCCGCCCGAAGTTGGTCTAATAGAGCAGCCGGAAAAATTTCCGCAGCTGATTTCACACCAACGCGAATTAATCCATCCACTGGTTTCCAATGAAGTGGAATCTGCAAAAAAACTGCGGTGACTCACCGTCATATAAACGCGACCAGTGTTGTTAGTTGTGACGGAGAGCCACTTACGGAGACAATACGGCCGGTCAACGTGGTGATGGTCCTTGATGAGTCGGTGATTCTAAAAGTCGCCAGCATATTTACATCTCCAGAACCACTGGCATCAATGAGATCAATAATCTTCGGCTTCCCTTGAGAAGTGACCTGAAGCCCTCGCGCAGTGGGATCCACACCTGTGTCCCAAACGGCGATGACAACACCTCGTCCGTCAAATTCGGAATTTTTTTGAAGGAATTGAAGAGCGCCAATTTCGCGCTTCGGTATCATCGATTGCATGGCTGAAAGAGTGTAGTACGCTAAGAGGCGAAATCCCATTGAATCATAGGCTTTCGAAGATATTTGATGTTATGATGTCTGAGCAGCAGCACATCATACTATTAACATAACTTAGACTTAAATGCGTAATGTTCCCAAGGTACCTATACTAATTGGGTTTGAGAAACATGTTTATGCACAGCAACCGAGCGCCTGACGCATAAATTATTAAAAAAAAAACACCACAATTCTGAATAGATGCAATGAGTAGCTTAGAAACAGGCATCTTTGTTCAAGAAAGTGTGACAGGTAATAATTTCATCTGCATTAAACATACTGTTTCTCGTAAAGAAATTACTAGCTCTCACAAAAAAATTATAAAGGACACAAATGCCACTCCTTACAAGACGGAAGTCAAGCAAAGCGACATGATAAGCCACAACTAAAATGCGGTCCAACCTTAAAAATCCACAAGGTGACGAGATAGTGAGCTTTAATTTGGCCGCTCACAGCGCAATCAACCAGAGCCTACGGATAGACCTAGATACACTTGAGATCCAGTGGCTGACACCACCATCTCAAGGTCAACTTGTGATGGCATTCAATGATTGAAAAAGAATTAAGGCCTTAGATGAAATAATGCATCCACATATAGGAAGCCTAATCACAAGCAACAACAACTTCATTGCTAATAACACGGAATATTACTGCATGCAATTTTTATTTTAATGGACTATCCTACTTTTTCCAAAACCCCTCCAGCAAATACAACTTATTACGCATAAATAAGTCCACTGTACCGCCGAGTTTTGGTTGACTTCAAGTAGGGCAACTCTCCCTGAAATTGCCGCAATGTACTGCTCAGACCAGCGCTGCAACCATTACCACCACACCCTCAACTCTCCCTACGAACTTACCAATTTATTTGCGTCAGTTAATCAACCAGTGCTCCAAAGACAACCAAAGCTTATTAACCTCCGCTAAGTGTGGTATTGAAGGAGCATCAGGGACACTACCCGCCAAACAAAAACCTCACAAGCACTAATTCCACGTCTAAAGCTCCTACCTAAGTCACTGACGCCCGGAGCCCTACAATCCACCGGAACACCGACGCCGCCGCCAGTAAAACAGCCACCTCCTTTCAGCTTCCAGAGGGATCAAGACCTGCCAATTCAACCATTAGGAACCTAACACGACCCTACGCCCACCAGCCATGACATTTAGCACCACCTCGATGCGTCCAACGACCCAATGGTATTTACCCAGCGTTAGCAGACACCGACGCTTGCGAGTGACACGCATGGGACCTCTCCACCGTAGGTGGGACGCCGCAGATGCTGCTCCCCGCACCTGAGCGACCCATCAGACCCCGTCAACACTCATGACTACAATTACAATTCAGCAACAAATCACATGACCCACGATGAGAACCGCCCGAGTCCAACCTTAAATCCATCAGACGCGAGCTAGACGACACCCCAACGCGACAGGAGCGTAGCAACACAGATAAGCATGAGTCTCAACGGTGTGTCAGAATCCTAGAGGGTTAGCCCAAAAACCAACCCTGACCAGTTCTGATACTTCCATTTTCCGCAGCTTACCAGAAGCACAGACTGCAAAGGCAAACTGCGGTTCACAACGCGTAAAGACTTGTAACTATCCACCTATTCTTGGGCGGAATCATCCACTCAAGCAGTACGGGATATCTTCCATTTTGCACGCATCTAAGCAAACATAGATAACTACGTTGCACTGGTCACGTGCCTGATAACCGTTTTCGAAGTGTATGAATCCCCCTAACCCTAGCAAGCGACTAGGTTCAAACAGGATCCAGTATTTATTGCATGCAATAGAGCAAACATAGAAGCATCTATTCTGCGCTGGAAGCATGCAGCCGCCGACAGATGACCCAATTTGAATATCATCATGATGACTTGGAAGAATTTATTTGGCACAAAGTCAGATGCGACATCCAAGCAACCCAGCAGCATCTAAAAGAGAAAAGACAATCACAGCCTCTTCACACGAACCTAGATTCAAACGACCTGGGTTGATACATCCCTACAAAACCAACTATCTTGGGGTCACAACACACATCCAATCAGGTAGCACAACCTATGTGAAACCTTGCAACAATCCAAGCCTCGTGCAAACCGGTATACCACAATTCTATAACAGAACATCTCCGTCCCGTGCGAAAATCGTGAAGTCAATTTTGCAGGCGACGACAGCAGATGGTAAGCACAACCTGCATGTTAGCCTGCCAGCAATGTAGAAACGAAAGCACTCTCAACCGGAGCACCAACTCACCCGCGAAATGCGCCATGGGCCAACACCAAGTGCAGCGCTAACTGGGACTGGAAGTTTAACTTATTCAAAGTTGATCTTGTGTGTGCGTATTAAAATATTCAGTAAAAATTAATTTTTCTGTGCCAAAATGATTTTGACAAATTTTTCTTTGGTGTTAATGGAAAAGTTGTAGTATGCTAAATATTTTGTGAGTGTCTTTTATTTAAAGCGCTTGATACAATTTTTGTTGATGTTACCACCAGATGTCTGGCGGTTACTTTTACATGTGAACTGGCCTTAGGGTCAATTTCAGCCCTGATCCCTTCGATCACCTTGCATACATGTATATTGGCTCCACTTAATGCCTTCTTGCACTCTGTGGGAAGTCTCTGGATGCTCAAAATAATTTACTAACAGAGTAAATGTAGGAACTGTCTGCCTACCTTCCTGCCCTTGAACCTCAGACTTCAAGATAGGGTTTGTAATGCTTTGTTTATGTGACTACCTGTCGTTTGGCGAACACCTTAGATTCTGTCTGGACCCTGTACAAGAGGGCTGGCCTTCGGGCCGCGCTCAGACTCCATTTGCGGGGAATCTCCAGGCATTAGCCAAACAGACATTCTATGGATTGTTGTTCCCTGTGGGTTGCCTCATGGATAGCAGCCCAGTTCAAAAGGGGTGTACGTCCACCTGCCCCGGCTGAACAACTGGTGCAGATGAGGGCTATCATTCCCGAGCGGTTATGGACTTCGATAAAGGAATGTCCACAACCCATCGAAGGTCCGAGGAGGAGTGTTCAACCCCTGTGCCAAAGAGAGACGCAGATGATATATGCAAATCCCTTTTCGTTGCCTTTGCCATCCCCAGGACCAATTTGAACGATCTCTGCGCTCAACCAAAACAGGTTATTGAAGCTGAGAGGAAGGAACTGCACTCACACTTGAAGAATTACTTATAAATGTTCTCCCGGGAGGGAACGAAATTGGGACGAACGGATCTAGTCAAACACAGGATCGATAGTGGCGAGGCCAAATCGATCTGGTAGCACCCTGGACGCATACCACCACCTCTCCAAGATGAAGTACATCGATTGATTGACGAGAAGCTGCGCGACAACGCTATCAGGCCCTCCCAGTCACCCTGGGCCTCCCCCATCGCATTAGTTAAAAAGAGTGACGGCAGTCTACGTCTATGCGTCGGTTATAGGAGGCTCAACGCAGTAACAAAGAAGGGCACGTTCTCTCTACCCTGTATTAACGACTCTTTGGACTCTACAAGGAGCGAAGTGGTTCTCGACATTGGATCTGAAGTACGGCTACTGGCAGGTGGAGGTAGTGGAGGAGAACAGAGAAAAACGACCTTCATTGTGCCAAATGGACTATATGATTTCCAAACAATGCCTTTTGGGCTTTACAACGCGGCAGCCACCTTCCAGCGACTTATGCAGACGGCATTGCACGGCCTACTCCCGAAACACTGCTTTATCTATCTGAACGACATTCTTGTTTTCGGAAGAGAAATCAAACAACATAACTCCAACCTCCAATTAGTACTGGGTCGCTTTCGGGAGGCATGTCTGACGTTGAATCCAAAGAAATGCAGTTTTCTCGAAAACTCGGTCACGTTCCTGGGACACACGATTTTTGCAGATAGGATGGTGGATACGGAAGACAGAACAGGAGAAGTGAGGACTTGGCCGACATCTACAAATCAAACGGAATTTCGCAGCTTCCTTGGTTTGGCTAACTATTATCAGCGTTTTGTAAAAGAGTTCATCAAGATCGCAAGTTCCCTATAAAAGGTGACCGAGAAACAGGCAAAAAAGGCGCTTCGTCGGGAAAATGAGTTGAAGCGTGCTCTGCGCGGCACCATCTTGCGAAGATGGTGAGGAGTCTCCTTCCGGTTGATATTTCCTATTCGACCCATCTGCATCCCAATCTCCATTCTTCCTGTAACAAATGCCAATTAAGTCATCTGCAACCAACCATCTTGAAGTCCGAGGTTCAAGGACAAGAGAATAGGCAGGCAACTCTTACAGGGTTGGTTGCAGATGATTTATTTGGCAGTTGTTACAGAAAGAATGCGGATTGGGATGCAGATGGGTCGAATAGGAGATATCAACCGGAAGGCGACTCCTCACCGTCCTCGCGCACGTGATTTGCCTTCCCATTTGGTTTCCGCCTCTCTCCTATAAAACTTCACTTAAACAATCTAGTATATATTACAGCTTTGTTTTACTGACTCCCTACCCTAATTTGTGTTACTCTGCAGTTTTGTTGCGTTCACTGCAATACACCATTTGTGTGACCATCTGGTACTTGGCTGTTACTTTATTATCTGTATGGTCCTTGTAAAAGTGGTCCGGTCTTCGGGCCAGACCAAGGCCTTATCCCTTCTTCTCCTACTAGAATGCCTGTATTCATCGCAATTTAATGCCTTCCTCTACCTGATGGGAAGCCTCAAAGTCCTACATTGTTTTGCGGCGGACGACTTCTATTCTTGTATCCACCATTTGTGAGCATTATTTACAGTGCAGAGGAGGCACACTTATAAAGAGCGGGAGATCGTCTGCGTTCCTCACAAAAGAAGAGTCGAGACTATTTCCGTTTGGTTCCATCTCGCCTCCGTGTTTCACATACAAGCTATTAACGACTGAAGCGACACCGCTGCGAACCATCAAATAAGTTCTGTGTTGGAATTCTCCTTGATGCATCCGAATATAGATGTCGGAGAGAATACTACGTCGAATCCCTTTCGGTAAGACACTGTTTGATCCCGCCTCCCTTGTTTAACATCTGTTTTAGCCAGCGTCTAGTCGTGGACATCATTAGTGGTCAAAAGAAAGTCTTCGCCATGGCTCCTGTCCTTAGACTCGAGGCCCAGTTGAGGTTGCCGGGGTCCAAGTACCGTCCCCTTGCCACAGTGTCTGACGATCAACGTAGCTGTCTCATGAGTGTTTCTTTGTGGGATCGGATACTTTGTGATGGCCGGCGCAATATGTTTACCAAGAAGAGTGCCAAGGACGTGGCTCAAAAGAACAGAGGGACAATGTAATGCTTCTTGTTTGTGACCATCTGATGTTTGGCGGTTGCTTTGGTATTTGTCTAGCCCTTGTAGGCATGGGCTAGCCTATCCCCCTCTCTCCTCCTTGAAAACATCTATTTTGTCCAACGCAATACGTTTCTTCCACCTAGTGGAAAGTCTTAAGTCTTTTACCTCATAGAAGAAGGAATTAAGTAAGGGCTGGGCAATTTATTCAGTGAGGAAGGGGCGGGATTCTGCAGGAACAAGGTGAATACCAAAGCAGCCACCAATCATACAGGTAGTCGACTAAACAAGGTATTGATATAGGACTCCGAGACTTACCGCTAGGCAGAAGCCGACCTTAAGTTGGGCTGAATACATGCATTTTAGGAAGAGAAGAGGGGATTAGGCTATGGCTTGGCGAAAAGAAATACCAAACGAATGTCATAGTAATCGTCAGACCTCAGGTAGTCGCACAAGGAATGTATTACAACGAATTTGATTAGGGTTAGAACAAATGTATCAAATCTCGTGCCGTTACTGCATCAAAACTTGCCTGAAGATGAGCGTTGACTTGGGCAGGATATGCGTACTCGATGTCCAAAGGTGATGCAAGCTACTAGCCTCCTCCAAGTCGAAGTTCACTTAGCGAGGTTAATGTACCCAGTAAAGTGGCCCTTATTTAAAACCGAGAGTCAAACTGACAATAGGTCTAGCTCAGAATTGTCCCACCACCTCAATGCAGTCGGAATAAATCAAGGTTTCATTGCACGGCAAAGCCAAATGGGTATAGGCGCAGCCTGAAATGCGGGCAGTAGGATCAAAGCCAAAATTGGATCCACTCGGACGCTGATGTGTCCGAAGGGCCAAGTCATCACAGAAATAACATTATTAATATGAAGTTAGATAAGCAGAGTCATGCTCCATTGCGGACCTGTCATAATTTTCCCTTAATGGGGGTTCACTACAGTTAATGGTTTAATAAAGCTTAAGTCTAACCCCATTATTTGCGGCAATGTGATCGCTCAAAACATATTCTTAAAAGCCCTAAAGTTGCGGGGACTTAGATGAGGCATAGAGTAAACAGTTTGTTAGTGAGTCCTGCTAAAAGTGTCGAAAAGTGGGAGGACTTTCAGCTTTAGATCTGCGATTCCACAATTTCTCCTTCTGTTCCAATAAGGGGATCTTACCTTCGATTGGGGACAAAGTTTTTTTTGTCGAAAGGGATGCAATAACGAGAAGTAGGCTAAAGTCAGTGGAAAGGCTGTATTCATTTCTCCAAGAGGTACTGAAAGTACAGAGTGTGCTGAGCATCAGATGAGAGGTCTGGAACAAAAGGAATATCAAAAATCTCCGCGAAACCCTCATTCTTTGTCGGTTTTTCGTAATGTTTCCTGCGTGACAAAGAGATAAGAAAAGGAACCTCATCTTCTAGCCAAGAGGTTCAGACAATATCAACGATGCCAACGTACTTCATTTGATTGAAGACAAGAGTACTGATTTTGCTGTGATTCTTGGATGTGAGCTGTCGAAACTGAAGGGAGAAGAAGGGGTCACCAACTTTTATCCACAACCAACGTGGAGAATGGTAAGCCAATGTTTTATCTAAAGCTTGATAATATAAGCGAGAACTTAACACCTTTATGATCCCATAACTCAGCTATACGCGTTGCCGATTTGATTTTTGACGAATTTAAAGGCGTTGCATACATAAGACAGTAGGCATTCCCCAGACCAAAGCGTGTTACTAGCACAGTGGATGAAGCTAATTTTAATAAGCATGAGCTATGCCAACTGAACTCCCACCATTCCACTTCTAAGGCTGAAGGCGTCGAGTTCGCGTGAGTAGAGTCAAACTCCACATTAAAATGCCAGTCCTGAATTCCAAAGCCACCTCCCCAATCCTAATCTCATCCAGAGAACAGTTTGGGTGACAAAAAAGCAAGTTCCAGACAATATTCTACCTTTTCTCGATAAGTGTCTATTGACTATGGGTTTTCGGACTTAAGAACTCATTTGAAAAAGGCTCTGTCATTGCAACTCGCCATTTCATTGTGTCTGCAATGATCCAAACTCGTCTGCATGACACAGGCGTAAGCTGGCACCCCAAGAGATTTCGAGGCTTCGAGGAAGGGCTGCCTTGAAGCTGTAGTCATGTTAGTATTGTCAACAACAACAGAAGAGCCGGCCTTCAGCAACTGCTTACATCTTGCTATGCACTTCTTCATATCTTTGAGCACGTCCTATAAGAAGGGGAAGCATAACATCTCCAAGGCGTAATGCTACTAGTCACGAAATAGCAGTCCCAAAATTACTTTGGTGCAATTCCACTCCTCAACATACGAGTTACGAACATGCGTACGAAGATCCTCCAGAACCCATATCTTTCATAGCTCTCCTTAGAGTTTGATGTAGATATTAGCAAACATCAGACATTAATATCACATCTAACCTATGATTGCCATCATAAGCCCATTCTCGTTAAAAAGGTAATTTTGTGATTGTAGTTCCAGATTAATTTCATTGCCAATCATGGAAGGTCATCCTTAACTTTCTGACCAAGGATTGACAGATTCGAAGCATCAATCATAATGCCTCTGTGATTCAAGTTTTACGGTCAGTAAATAGTGTCCCTAAAACGTTTTATAAGGGGATAAAATTCTTACCCTACTTATGAGTACGTAGCCCATCTGACTCAAGTGGCTGTTGCAGAAGGTCGATTTGCCAGCTGCAAAAAAAGCCATTTGTATGATCCAAAACAAATGAATGGGGGATCACGCACGAATTGACAAGTGTGATGTTACAGCCAATACCTATTCCAGCAAAATTTGACCTGTCAAAAAAATCCCTGGAAGATCCAAAAATGTGACCAAGAGATGAGTGGTGCGATGGATACAAAGACATTTTTATCTGTATGGCTGTCCCATTGGTCGACCTAGCCTGGCATACATGAACATAAGCCTCTACCTCAGACACTGAGCAGTGATGTATACATCCAAATTAAGCTCGGTTCTCTCAATGGCTAATAGAATGTTGCTCGCCTACTCTAGCTTCAGCCTTCCTAAAGGTTTGATTATTAAGAGAACCGATGATTGGTAAACTCCATTAGATTGTGCTGTAGTTCGGTCTAAGTAGTTAAAATAAATCAAGCTTTAGCCATGTGTCACCATTAAGACAAATAAGGACATAAATCGGCACTCAATGCTTACAAGCGGGGTATCCAACCATGAGAATAAGCACAGTGCCTTTTGCTGGAAAATCCTTCAAAGGAGGAGGCACAGGTGACGATTTTGAAAAGGCAGAATCTTGAAACTGTTTTGGATCGAATAGGAGAGGATAGGTGGAATCAACCCTCTCACCTTCTCCCCACAACTCCTCTGGCGTTTTAAAAGGCACTCCTAGGTTCGCAGCGAACTGATAAAATAGAAAAAAGGCTCTTAAATTCAGCTTCTCCCATCGTCTTTAAAAGAAGGATTTGCTTGTTGACTTATTTCTCATGTTACGCAACGCCTTCCTTCCAAGCGCAAGTGTACACGCTTATGACCATGCAACTCACACATCCAATCTTTCGTTCCCTTTTTTATGTGGTGACGAAAAAGTAGGACTAATAAATTGAGAATTCACCCATACCTCCATTGCTAATTCTTCAGAATTCAGGTAGCAGCGAAGGTTCGGTAGCTAACATCCAAATATAGTTACTAAAGCCCTCCAGCTATACGTACAGACACGATACAAAACCGAAAGTAGCTATTTGGTAGAGCGTGAATGCGTTACAAGAAGGTAGCATAATTGGTAAAACCAAAGCTTCATATCAACGTCAAAGAGACCATTTGCATAATGCTACCTGCTAACGTCAGTTGAAGTGAAAATGTGGCGTAATGACAAAAACATTTTCTTGTGTCGACATGTCCTGTGAACAGGTGAAAGCTCCGACGCCAGCCTAGTAATGATTTACGACAACTATTCGATACAAAGGTGTCTTCGCGCGTAAAGAGAAACAACTCACCAGGCGATCACAGTGCGAGTGATCCTGCTTAGCCTTGCCCTTGGCTACTCGTCCTGCAGCATCTACAGTCGTTAATTCAAATACACACCTTTGATGAGTACCTCTAATAGAAAAGGATTCAAAAACAATCGGAGCAACAAAAAGAAACCACACTCACCTCCACAGAAGATAGAGGCCTTCCTATCAATTTCTATGCCATCGTTATCCTTTCAAAAATTATTTAACCAATTGAGAAAACAAACTCCTCAAACCTACTGCTTCCAGAGCTTGCCACATGCCTATTCGTGGCTTTCTGTTGAAATCAGTTGAAACGGCGAAATAGGCCCGCATAGGAACACCAATTTTCTTAAACACTGCCTCAATTTTAGCTTTGAATTCGGGAATCTTCTTTTCCTGCATTTTTTCCAAACCACCCTAAAATGAAGCACAAAAATAAAAGAAGCTATGCTGCATACTTAAAGCCTAAAAAGCACTCATCCACCCGACTATCTGCCTCTTATTTCGTCGTCAAATTTTGCTCCGTTAAACCATCAAGCTTCTAATTTGCCTCCAGAATGGAGGAGAAGTAACTCCCTAGTCTTGCCATTGTTACTGGAATAAAATCCAAATTCGACCCAAAAAGGAGTAGAGTGGATTCGAAGACAGTCCAAATCCCACACCTACCACACAACTTATCTACCCCTTGAAGCAGAGTCCTCAAACTACACTAACTGATACAATATTTTGATAACTGGAGTTTCGAGTTGTTTGAACCACTGGTTGCGAACCCCGAAATTACATTCGCAAAATCTCTAATACGTCACATCATATTTGTTTCCCACTGCTACATTAGAACCGAAAATCCAAACTACGTACACCTACTCGTAAATAATTAAACTAGCGTCAAATACAGGAGGAATGATTCAGAAAGGAAGCTAATAAAGTCTACTGTAATGTTTACTTTAGTATACAAATAACGGGCGAACTATAAACTGCACTAATCTAGTAGTGCTCCTACTATTTTCGTTTCAATCTCCCTCGCAACAAATAATAGCATAGCTGAAGTGATCCACTCTAACATTTTAAAATGCAACTAAACTCATACAATTACATCTTTGGCAGCAGTGAAAGTGTACAAATTAACACAGGTAATCGCTACGCACCTGATTGGACATGATGACAATTGCATAGCCGTCGTCCACATAGGACTTTAGGATATCAGGGATGCGTGGTGAAATGAACCTATCAAAGAGAATTACTTTACGAGTCAATAGAGTCCTTACTTCCAATCATTGCCATCCACTGGAAAAACTCGACCAGATGCTGGTGTAATAATGGTACCGTCTAAATCCAAAGCTAGGACCTATAGGAAGGAGAGATGTTGCCTTAGCTAACAAAGAACTCACTTTAGAGGAGGTCTTTGCCTCAGGATCTTTGTAGGTCAGCAGCGAAATTCCCTGTGTCCAATTGTCCGAAGTGGCCAAAGCTGGTGGGTCCGCAAGAGTCGTTTGCTTACTAAAAATTTTGCACAACAGAATGGCAATTACTTTAGGCAATCTTCCTAAACCACTAACGGTTAAGCTCAAATCAGTGGTTTGAAACAGAGACACAAACTCTTTACGGAGGCATTCGAATGCAAAAGTGCCGAAAAAAATCTACCCAAAAAAGAGTCAACTTTTGCTAAATGAATACGACAGCAAGATTTGCCAACAGGTGACGAAGAAAGGAACCATAGAAATCACAGAATGCCAACACGAAACCCAATACAGTATTCATTACGGGAGTAAAAACAAGGCCCGAAGAAGCAGAAACCCTAGGCAGATGCGTGGGAGCAACAAGAATAATAAAAGTGTTCTTGTTGGAAGAAAGGGAGGAGGATAGGTAGTGAAAAAGGAGTGTACTCGTGTGAATTGTTTTATTAACACGCGCGTCTCAAACAGATACGCCCTTTACGAGGCAGTTCAAGACCAAAACATGTCATTGCACTCAAAATGCTTCAGTCAGTGCCTGAATGTAACGTGCCAAATCACCCCGGAACGGCCTAATTTGAACAGCGTCCGCAGGAAACGCCGTATTCAGGTTTGAAAAAGAAGATGAAAAGCACAAAACAATTGCGTTTATCAAAACGCGTATTAACCAGTGCGGATCTTTCAACCATCGATTAAATGGAAATAGAAATTAAGCATGCTTCACAAGCAGCACTCAACACCTTTAATTCCCCACTAAGTAGCACGGTTCAAGATTACATAAGCAATGCAAGTCAATGAAAAGCAGAGGATCCCATTAGCTTGCAATATTAAAAGTGAATTATGGCTTACAATCTCTTGATGCCACCGACTTCTTCCTCTGCACTGTGTTTCCGTTTCACCATTGTCAGACCCACTGATGTAAAAAAGAACAATTAATAAGGATAGCCTTGATGGCAATTCGATTAAAGCTGGTCGTGTAAGTATTTGACGACATGAGAATGACCACCGCATAACAATATGATGTAATGAGCAAGTAGAATTCACATTCAGCCAACCGCCTGATGCAGCTTTACAATGGTCAATGGGCAAGATTAAATGTCAGAACAATGTGCACATTTAGAAGCTTCCAAACTTGTATACAAATAAGTTCGTACTACAATGTGACCAACACTTTCAGCATCAAAAACGGTAACAAACACTGACATGGAGGAAAGAGACATTATAACGAAGTGTTACACGTTGTCAAAAAATGAAAAAGTAAAATCCCAACAAGAAAATATTTCATAGAACAAAATAAAAATACCACTAGAATATGCGGCTAGTGAAGCTAGACATGAGAAAGTGAGGAATTGATTCCAAAATTTTTGCTAGCAAATGGAGACGACAAACAACGAAAGGCACCGGGACGCCAGCGGCAGAACGCCTTTTGAAATCGTGCCAGTGAGAGAGGTGTCAAGATCAATATGTGATAAAAAACAATTCATGCAGACCTTAAATAGGTTCTAATTGCTGGATTATATGTGCATCAAGAAGTATTTATTGTGCAACATAAATTTTGTTCTTACATGAGCCTACTGACCTTGGTCAAATCCGAATTCTAAGACGCAGATCATATTATTGGTTAATATCTTTCGATTTGGCATTTTAAACGTGCCTTAGAACATTTTTATTTAATCTAGCGCTTGGGTTGTTGCGCACACTAAGTATATGGACAAGCACAAGTGCAGGCATAAAAAATGGGCATGTACAATGTCTTTTATCTTAAACCAATAGTTCAATTTCCTGATTTAAATGATTTGTACCCAGTCCAATTGTATTTCCTGCCATATTTTGCTGTTTTTCATTACAACTCGTCAAATCAGCTAAACGGTGTTTGGGACACGTTGGCACAGATGTTTGGTGGTCATAACTTATCAAGCGGCTTGGTAACTCTTGAATCTCACTGTTTATTCTAATTCTCGTGCATCTTACCTCGTGGCCGTCGCAAAACTATACCTTGTAGCGCTCGGAATCGCCACTGAACGTTGCCATTATCCCCTTTGATTGAATTCGATCCATGCTATTTATGTATTTCAAGATTTATAGATTACGTGCGACCATGTAGCTACTTCCCCTTCTAAAATATGGATAGTTGAATTATTTCACTGTATGCAGCTGCAGTAAATAACTTTTGTTTTTATCTTGAACAACCACAATGAAACCACTTTGCCTATCTACTTTACCTAAAATCTTTTGAAAAAGAAACTCTTCAAAAGCAATTCAACACATTTAGAGCATATCTTAACTTCAGGTAGTCTTCGCAGCATAATCTTGTTTAAATTGGCTGGCGCCTTTCCCATTGTTAAAAGTCACGTTGCACCTTATCTGTGTGTCTAGTAGTTGCAAATTTCATGCATGCATAGTGGCAAATCTGTGAGATGACTCCAACCCTTTCATGGTAGTTATTTCACCGCCTATGTGATCTCGCAAGTGATGACATACGGAAAGCTTTCGGGAATTGGCCAATCAACCACTAACTGTTGCTATCATTACGCGTCGATGTGAGGCGTTCTGCAGTGCGCTCGACACCAATGCAGTCACTACCTCATCTTGTCATTAGTCTCTGAATTGGGCGTCAATCGGCCAACTACGATGTTTAATTTATTCTCTTTCAAATTGATGCAGCAACACTCACGCTAATCCATCAACTCAGTCATTTAACTAGCTATCCTCAGCTTACTGGCAGTTTTGACAGATATTTTTTGACACTCAGTATTCTGTCTGATGAAACCACAGCCTTTAAATGCTTTCTGAGGTTGATGAGCTCTGCCTATTTGCCGTCGCTATAAAGTTGCCCTCCAACCTCATAGATTATGCATCCCATGCTGGCTTATTCTGGTTGTTGGTCCCATCGTATCTACGCCTACTTTCATGCCTACTGAAATGGTTGAGACTGTACCTAGGCGAGGGTTCCACGCATTACTAAGAAATCAACACTTTAAAGATTGCTATCGGGCGAGAAGGCGACAGAGGATTGGTTAGACAACGGTTGGCAGACATAGGCAGCAAATGCCCAGACTGCTCCATAGCGCCAGAATAAAACGCCTTTACCTTAAAGTCACATGACTTGGTTTTTCAGATTCTTTTGCAGACCAGTTCGGTTTAAAGTGATAAAGCTTTATTGCGTCGAGCATCTGATTAGTCAGGTTTAGACAAACGTTTAAATTTACTTTCCCTTGCTCCAAATTTCTTATTTCCTTAAATAAATTCGCCATGTAGACGTGATAAAGGGTTAAATTGTGGTTTCTGACTCTGCTTTCACAAAGAGTTGGGTTAATTAGTAGTTTCGCATAAAAAGAGCCATTTTTTTACACAACTAAATTCCTATACGCTTCATAAAATGAGACCAAATGTTAAAAAACAATCAGAAGGTCTTATCTTCATTCAGTTTGTTGCCATTAACGTTGTATTTCCCATTAAGAGTCTGAGTTTTAAGTTTTTAACATTTTACTGTGTGCACACTTGTAACTTTATTATTTACCACAGATACGCAACCATTCTGGAAACACGTTCTAAGCCGTTTTTCCATCAGGTTAATTGTTGGCCCAGGATTACAAGCTTCACTATTGGTTAATTTATCCCTCGTCCGATTGGCTGTTCGCAGACCTCCGCAATGATCGAACTACCAAGGTAGGTGGAAGTGCAGCACCTGAGGCACCTCTTAGGTCGTTGCACAGCATTGGAGTTGAAAAGTTTATTTGCAATACAATTCACAGAAGTATTAAGACATTCATTTGTAATGAGAGTGACACCTTGTTGGCGGAGCTAAGTAACATCGCACATTATCAAAGTTAGTGTCGCCAATGGCACACGCTGAATGTTGGCTAAGTACTAATTACTACCTATCAAATAAGCAGTTTCCATTGATGATTCTCTTTTTTGCAACTCAAAAGCTTGTTGTCGGCGTTTAAATGCCAGCAATAACCTCGAAACCTGCTTCGTTCCCAAAGTATGTGTCCGAATAACTCAAGAAGTGGCGCCAAGTTGTTGACTGGCTTTTTTGTTTTTGAGCAGAACTTTCAAATCATCGGTTATACACTCCTTTGTCACAAGCTCCATAAGCAAACCCCCCTTCCCCCATCCCTCGTTGTTTTGAGGTTCCCACGTCACAATGCAAATCTCTCATAATTACACCTATACGTCAAAACAGACCCTTCGTAAACACTTCAACCTAACTCTGTTTTGAACTATTTTGGGGACTAAGTTGGTTTCACATTGCTAACGATGGCAATTTCGTGTTGGATGCGGTGACAATAATCCTGCCCAGTAATGAACGGAACCTGTTCGTCAAAGTTTTGCTCTAAACTTCAAAGTAATGACGCTGTTTATGAAATTGGAGCTGTTGCACAAACCCAAAGCACTCTTTCCAAACCTTTGAATTCGCATTTTGGCTGACGAGTTTCCGTGACACAAACTCTACCATCCTATTTATCAATTAACTGAGTTCAGAGTTTTCAGCGTTGGAAGAAGACACAAGCCTTGAATCCAGTTTCACCTTCCAAAAAGCTGCCCTCTAATGCTCCACTAAAGAACCAATGAACCGAGAAGTGACCAGTAAAAACATGGGAGAAAATATTTAACTTCAGCAAAACGTTCATACTTCTTTCTAATAGCCATTTCAGATTCCTCGTAGGTCTTTGACACAGTCAGTAAACTGCTACTGGACTTCATCTCTCACCAGTACAACTCACCATCCAGAGTCGCATGCCCCGTCGTATTACCCAACGAAGTATGTGGCTCTTCCAAAGCCAACCCAAAATCGTCTAAGATGCGGTAATAACCCGTGTCAATCCACTACAAAACGCCAAACATCCACCACTCTTGTTTCCAGGGGAAGAGTAGAAGGTAGAGCACGAGAGAAGGCCATGTGGTAGGGAGATGATTTTATAATGCCAAGAAAATCTTCATGAAAAATGATTCATGGACATGTGTTGTCTGTGTATGTGTCCGTGGCTCTCAAATAGCACACACATACGTGCACTACCATACATAGGCATACATAAAGGTATCATATCGAGGTAATAGATATAGGTAATAATATAAAGTGGGAATAAATGAAAATGGTCATTACTGGTATAAAACTCGAAGTAGACTGACACAGAAAGAAGGGTCAATAGAGGTGGTGGGTGAGGAGGAGGCGGAGACTGAGTAGGGATGGCAGTATGACGGTCATAAATATACTTACACACTCCAATCCATCCACCCTCAGAGTCACGTGTAAAATTAGGATCTACGCATACTGAAATTCATCTAGTGGCGCGTTTTGCATGTTGAGATCGCTAGTGATAGTCAGATAGAGAGAGAGAGAGAGAGAGAGAACGAGGGACAGGAGAGACAGACGTGTTGCATAATGTGCATATCAAAAATAGCGATGGGGAGGAGTACTAGTGTTGTTGTCAACGGTAACAATAATTAGTTGTAATAATAAATATTAGTGGTAGCATCGGTGGCAGTGGTGGTGGTGGTGGTGGTTGTGGTTGTGGCGATGGATGTCAAAGCAGTTGTAAAAAACGAGAGGAAAGTCAGCAAACAAAACGCACGGAAAATGGCAAAATGAAGTGTAGAAAACCTACATGGCAAGTGAGGGGTACAAAAGGGAGACGTGGACGTGTGTACACACAAATCTTGCTTTCGTTTCGTGGTTATTTCGTCGTCCATTTGATGTCAAAAACACGAATATGGATAAGGTAAGGGTATCGATAGAAAAAAAAACCAAGGAAGAGACAAAAGACCGAATAAATGAAAAAGGCGGCAGTTGTGACTCTGGTGACAGAGACAATCCTATGTGAAATGTTTAAATGCCTAGACCAATCAGCTAATCAAATAATTAATCAACCGATCGATAGGTGAATGGGTGGGGAAGAAAGTGAGGGGGAGGCGGGGTGTGTTTGAAATGGATGCATGAAAACCGGCTTCCCTGAGAGAATGCCATGGTGTACACGGTTCAAGGATTCAAAATGTTGCTATTGCCATTGTTGTTGATATTGCCGACGCTGGATGAATGCTCAATAGCATGTTGGTGATGGTGACGATGTTGCCGATGTTGGTGGGAGGAGGAAAAGAGAGCGATTCGAAGATTATCCTCAAAGGAGGTGCTATCTTCTATGGAACCCAGGCGTGATTGATCCTCCTCTTCCAAATCTTCTAAGACTCCACCGGCACTCCACGATCCTGGAGGCTAAAGAATAGCTAACGTCACTGACTGTGCTTGAGTTGCTTACACACGGGATGAACAAGTTAACGTATGCCCTCATCATTCACCCCAAGCGAGACACATGTTCACTTACGTTGGAGCAAGATTTGCGCCGCAACGACGATGGCCGCTTTACAACAGATGCGGCGGAAGTTGCGGTGGAGGTACCAGTGGAACCAGTGACACTATCAGTGCTAAGTGCAGATCGCACTGTGGGATCGCAGAGCAACACACGCAACAGGTCATTGAGAAAGGCGAGACTGGTGTCTCGGACCGACGAGGGCGTGGTTCCTGTTGTACTCGTGGAGGGTGGTGTCGGCGGTGGCTTTTCCTGCAAGCGACGAACCTCCGCAAGGTGGTTGAAAAGGATCATTACGATCTGGCGCACCACCAATTGCAGTCCCAGTGTTTGCTGTGTCTGTTCCGCACACTCACAACGCAGTGCTTCAAGATCTTGAAGCCTCTAGAAGGGCCAAAAAAGTTAACTGAAGTACCTAGTAGGTATGGTTTAGGTCATCGTTTGTATTTCCATTAGTGTCAACAGATTTCAACCAATAGTCTGTGTGGTAGCCAAAATTCTCACGCTGATACCCACAAAATGGAATGAGAATACACGTGCAGTATCTCACTGTCGCTCCTCTAATAAGGGTTGGCCTGATTCCTTGTAACAGGTAAAGCATGAGTCCTGGTCATTTCTTGAATTTTGACCTGAATGATGATAAAATGTGCAAGTTAACTAGGATTCTGCTTGCTTTTGATATAATCCCCCCAAAACTCATGTCTTCCAATGTCTTCAGAGCCAAAACAAACCTCAACTACTTTCTTCAAAGGCTGACCGCAAGCACAGGCATTAGCCTTAGGCAGAAAGCCATATCAACAACCCAGATCGGGGATTAATAACCGTCCCAAATGCTATTAACTAATGCAATTGACTGATTTCACTAAGAGCTCAATCTAATCCACTGAAACATGGCAGACCCCACTTAATGGTTTTGTTTAACTGCCTTTTCTTACCAAATTCACACAAGCATAGCATCTTATTGAACTATTACCATGGTTGCAAGTAACCTAGAGTGGACCAATTAAAACGCTCGGTCAAGGCCGTGCTTGGTTATCCGCTCTCCTTCTTCACAGTCGCATAACGAAGTTGCATTATAAGTAATGCACGCACTCCCAGTTTATCCAAATGAAATGCTTGACAATGTTGCTAAGTCGTGTGTCTAACCTAGAACCCCACTCTTGAGGAGACTACGACGCCCAGCCCAGCGGCTGGAGAGGCTAAACACAAATTCGAATGAATGAAGGCAAGAAGGGCAAATTGATGATGACAAGAGCTTGGGAGGATAGGGAAGCAGTTCGATCACGAATGAAAATTATGAGTTTACTTAAAACGGGTTACAGTTTAATAACGCTACACCAGAGGTTCCTCAATCGGTTGGCATTTCAACATTTCCAATGCCATACTCATGGCAGCACCACCAACAGCATCAGCTATGACGCATGAATAATTGAAACCT